CTCTCTCTCTCTCTCTCTCTCTCTCTCTCTCTCTCTCTCTCTACACACACACACACACACACACACACACACACACACACACACACACACACACACACACCGATAATACCGTATTATACTTTGTTGTTAATCGATGCATTCGCGAGAAGAGGTACGAGCTGTTCGGAGAGCTGTCCTATTGTCGCCTGCAATACCGCTTGTTTCTCCTCTAACGCGGCGACCTTGTTAAAGCAATTTAAATTAATGTCGCGTGTTCCCGCGTGCATGCAACGTACTGAAATGAAAATTTAATGGCGTATGGATTATCGTTATATTTACCCTTTCCAATAACTTGCTGTAGAGGGAATATGGGACGTAGCCTGGTTGACCAGATGGACTAGGACTATGATCGGCGTGAGGGCTTGTCTCGCTTCTCGGACTTTTATCTTTCGGCTTGCTATCGTCATTATCGATATCCGGCTTGTTGGTAGAATCCACGATGTATGGTGCCATCAGTCTAACGAGCGATAAAACCGGTGTACATTATGGTGTTTAGCATTAAATAAACTAGATGAATTTATTTAAAAAAGAAAAAAAAAAGAATCGAAACCTATCAAACCGCGGGAAATCTCCATCCTTCTTGACTTCCACTTTTTCGACTCGATCAACCGTGGCAGTTTTTCTCCTCTCCATCTGATTCATCTTCAATTCTTCAACCTGCAGGCAAAAAACGACGATCACGTTAATAACGATAAATTTTGATGTATCTTTTATATTCTTTCTCTAATTTCTTCTCTCTAAAAGTGCTGTATTACCCATGGTGCTTTCCTCCTCGCTTTCGCCGCGAGCCCATCCGTTTCTTCGTCAGGTATTTGCTCCGACGTGGTATCGGTGCGTCCATTAGACAGATTATCTTCCTGTAAGAATTATAGAAGACACTGATAGATATTTTTGTTCGGGATTTCATTCAAACGATTATTAATTTTTTTTTTACCAAAAGGGCACTGAAAACTGTCGAAGATCCAGCGTTCGTGCTGGACCCAGCGTGGTAGCGCAGGTGCTGCGACGAAGGCGGACGTCGCCGAGGCGCCTTAGCGCGAGAGGCCGTCAAATGCGAGAGTGGAGTGCCCTCCCCCCGCTCTACACCGTCCAATTCCTCGCGACACTCCGAGGCGACACTCGTCGTGCTGCTGACACCGTTATTATTCCCCACGTCGCTCACGAGACGCTTCAGGCTCGATATAATCGAGTGGCTGCCGGCCGCCTTCTTATCGCCGCTTCCGCTTCCGGTAGCCGTCAACGACGAGGACGTCGAGGACGACAACGAAGATAGGCCCTTTTTAGCGGTGTCTATGGCAGGAAAATGATCTGGACGCACGAGCGGAAACACGAAATTACACACAGTTTCACGTTACATTCATTCGCGAACTAGGAGCATCATCTCGATACAGCAAGTGCTCGTATTTTACCTGATATATTACTTGAATGTATGCTCCTGGTGTCCAAACTTTTTCTAACGTGCGCCTTTTCGGTTTTCTTCACTTTATGGGAATGTCTGATACTTGACGTTGTTTCGTGCGCCCATTGGGATTCTTGTTCCTGGGATTCGTTCTTTACGCCGATCACCTCGACAAAATTGTCGGGAAACAGACCTATTTGTCCTTTCAGCTCTCCTTTCCACCAACCCTATGTGAATTATTATACATATTGAATATATCCATTAAATATTAAATAATAAAATTATATTTCATTTCTAGAGAATAGACGAATTATATACCTTGTCCGGTGCATCTTTAGATAAAAGGGTGATTATATCTCCTTCGACCAGGGTGAGCTCATCCTCATTGGCAGCCTCGTACGGAAAGAGCACCCTACACATTTCCTTCTTATCGCGCTCTTTGTGCCTCTCTTGCTCTTCCGGGGCAGGCGATGAAACAAAGTTCGAGGGAAACACGCCGACTCTACCTCTGAGACGACCCCTCCACCATCCTTCCTCCATTACTCCCAAGAATTCCACAGAGTCTTGCGGCACTAAGGTCAGCTCGTCCTCGTTACAAGGGTCATAACTGAAGAGAACTTTGCAGAACCGTCTACCAGATCCGTTTCTCAAGGTGACCTCGTCCGACTTCGTGCTGGTCTCGCTGCCGTTACTTCCGCTAGCGATCGACGAGTCCAACAGCTGTACACCAGATATTCCCAGGTATAAAAGGAGATGAGCGTGCATGTTCTGATGATAAGACTAATGATGCGATTTGATGATACTTAATACCTTAACAAAGTTATCGGGAAACATGCCACGCTTGTCCCTCAGGGTTCCCTCCCACCATCCTCCGAACATCACCTTGATCTCGGTGATGATGTCACCCTTCTTCAGTGTCAGCTCGTCATCCTCCTGCGCCATGTAATTGTACTCCACTATCGCCTCCATGCTCGAGAACGAGTTCCAAAGCCGGCGAGGGATCTAATCTCTGCGGGAGAGAGAGAGAGAGAGAGAGAGAGAGAGCGACGCTTTCCACCAAATGCCTTTACCTCACCATGCGACGAGGCGGCCGCGAGCTCGATCGGACTCGAACTCCGTTCGAATTATCTCGGCACCGACACGCCTCGGTACGATCGACCGACGCGCGCGGAACGCCGACGAGAGTCGTCCGCGAGAAGGGAAAGGAAAACGGGTCGCACGTGTGCACGCGAACGCCGACGCAGCTCGCGCGCGGAGGGGTTACGAGACGACGTGCGCTCTCCGGCTGTCTCGGTGCGTTTCTATCAGACGAACAGTCCCGAGCAGACTCGCGTACTCGCGCATCGTAATCCGATCGCGGCGCTCGATGCAACGCGACGCGATGCAACGTGATGCGACGATTTACGTATCGTAACGCGACGCGCTGAACACTGGTGGCGCGGGATTTAGGTTTCAGGCACTCCCCGGGTGGAGTTGACAGCCCCCCGTGCTTGTCACCGCGGCCATCTTACGCTTACGGAGATACCACGACTCCGAAGGCGGCTCTGATCTCCGGGGCGAAGCGGCGCGCATGCCACCTGCTCCGGAGGCCGTCGACACCGGACGTTCCATCGAACGCCATGCTCGGCCGAACGGCGGGAGGGCGGCCACGAGCGGCCTGGCGCACGTCCCGATTTTTACACGGGGCACGAACGCGTTCCTCTCTTCCTATTTTTAAAATCATTACGGACGGCGATTGGTCGTTAAGTCGAAACCTGTCCCGACGGGGAACTCGACGCCTCGAGTCGGGCGAGAATCTTTTATTCTCGATTATCCGCAGCCGCGCGGCTCCGGCGCGTTTGAAAGCGGAGGAACATGGCGGAGGACGGTCGGATTCTTCCGGTCGAGGCTCTCGGGAGGCGCTCGTCACGAGAGATGATGCGCCTCGGCTCATCTGCCTGCGTGATTCATCTCTCCGGACGCGCCGGAGGAGCTCGTTTGAATGGAGGCGCGTTTTACTTGCCGTAACGTGAGTCATGACGCGCACGTGCTTCACAAGCTGCATCGCGCCGCAGAGTTTCACGCACTGTCCGCGCACGTACCGCTATCCCGCACTGTCATTTCTCCACAATCAAAACAGATCGTCGATCCGAAAGATGCATCCGGAAGATCAGCGGAACGCTGTCTTTCAAACTGTCCAAATAGAAAAACACAAGGAAAATGCTGACCAAATATATATATATATATTTACAAACGTAGGAGACCGTTCAGATCGTACATTTTTCTTACATATAGAATTACGAGGAGAGAGATACGCATTTACCCCGATTATGAATTTCTCGATCGTCGATCGTTGATCCCGGTCTCTCCCGGGCTTTAATTTCCACCGTCACGCCACCAATCGCCGCGATCGACGTCCTCGATCGTCGTGACACGCGCGACTGCCGATCCGCGTTCCGCGCGTCGCGGACCGGATCGCGTGCAATTTGCGAACGTGACAATCCGCTAAAATCGATCAATTCCGACTTCGCTGACGGAGAGCGAGAGGCGCGTTCCTCTCCGTTCCTCCCGCGATCGAGAGGGAGAGGAGGAGGCGCCGCGCAATGTACCTATCTGTCACCCGCCTCGAGGGATCCTCCTCCGTGCCTTCCGTGGGCTTCCTGGTGCGTGTGATTCAACGCGGGCGCTCAACTGGAAAACGGTGCCGTGTCGTCCTCCATTTTTTTATGCGCTGATTCACGCCGGTAATCGCTCGCGCCTTATCGCCAAAGACTATCGCGTATGTCGGAGATGTCCCCTCGTCGTACGCGACGTGCGCGTTATGTGCGCGCCGTCGAGGTTGAGCAATTCGTTTAGCACACACTCGGGTCACGTACTTGAGAGAACCGTTGCGTTACGAGTCTCACTTTTCTCCTTACTTCTTACCGAGGGAATGAGTAATCCGCCCGTTTTCTTTTGTCCCACTGCTCTCCGGCGACAAATACGAACGGAAAACGGATTGAATCTTCGTTCTCTCGCTTTACTCCTCGATTTACTTCGGAATTAAATTTTGTAGTAGAAAAAAAAAAGGCGTGACGTTGTCATAGGTAAAAAGTGTGTATCTTTATTTATTATTGATTCAGACATCGAGTTGAACAAGTTGTTTCTCTACAAACTTAAAAACTTCTCTTATACACTTATACATTTAGATAATCGATCGCGAAGGTCGAATTAAATGACGTAACATAAAGATCATTCTTTGAGAGTGAGGTGATATAATGATAAATGAAATGTTTTAAAAGCTATTGTATTATATCGTATGTTTAACATCCTCGCAGTTATCTCTTCGGTGATCGAGCAAAGTGTTCCGTGCTCTACAAAATCTGAGAAAGATAATTATACCGCGCAAAGTAAACTCAAGCTCATATATATTTAATTAATTTCGAGCACCCATATAGTTTTTTTAGTTGATCTTTTTTTAGAAAATAGTTTTCTAAACGATGCTGATGACGCAAACCAAAGAAAATTATCAGCGGAAACTGTTCGCCCGATCAGCCATTTTATTTATATATATCTTAACAAGATTCGTAACAAAATCGTAGCTGTGATTCTTATCGACAAACTTTCATCATATCGTTGAAAATTGCAAGATCGTTGAAAAATTGAGGGCTATGAATTCGCAGAGCCGTAACTAGAATAGAAGACGAAATCAAAAGTATCTGATCCTGTATAATCCAGAGAATCCATCAAATTCTATAATTTTATGCAAGGAAAGTAAAAAGTCCGTTTCGAGCGTAATTCCGATATCTCGTTATGCACATTTTCGTAAATAACTGATAAAATTGCTGTTGAACTCACAACACACATGGAAAGAAACGCTAGTTACGACGCTGCACACATACGTGGCAGGCTCAACTAAAAAATAAAAAAAAAATTACTCTTCCGCCGAAGACCAGCTTCGAGCGAAATGAAATGAAGCACTTTGACGAAGGCAAACGATCCAGCGTCGCTCAAAAGAAATTCGTACAAACGACCCTACCATTCACGTGGGCGACGCCGTTCTTACAAATTGACTTGTGTCTTTTTGCTTCTTTCTCCTTTTTTTTTTTTTTCTACTCCTCCATTCCTCGTGAGAAACAAGCACCCGTGAACTTGAAATCAAAATTGTACATTTAAATGTCCGACCTTCTCACGCTGACATATTGTGATAAGTTTATCATGAAAAATGTATATCGTGCCGCTCGCTTCTTTTTCCACTCTGCTCGCTTCTTTTTGCACTTTTTGTCTCTTCTCGACTAGGAAAATTCATTCTTGAGAAAATGAGATTTATTTCGAAATCTACAGGTGCTGCTTCTCGCTACAGACAATCCACAGAACGAAAATTAACGATAGCTCCGACAAATCACGCGCGCATCTAAAGAAGAGCTGAGAGTAGAGTACATTCGACATCTCTAGTCACATCTAATTCAAAATTTCCCAAACTTTCTAGATATATATACACTGGTCCACGGATAACGATACAGATATTCGCTTACCTCATATAAAATTTTTACATGATTTAAAGGAAAAAATTCTTACATATTTTTAACAGTATTAATTTTCATTTTCCTTCGTTCGAGGATATATTAATTTTTTTGGTTTAAACGGATATTAGTTTCGTTGTTTCAGCGTGCCATCAGATCTTCGGGCTGTGGCAAATAAACAAAAGTGAAAAAGAAAGATTCAGCCCACGTCCGCATTCTTCAAGTTTGGGAAATCTTGGCTATTAGTTGAAGAGCACGCGTAAGTTACTTCTAGCGGGCGAGACAATCAAATTCCGTCCGAATATCTTTTTTTATACAAATACGCCGCGATTTATAAATATATAAAAGCAACAAATATATTCCATCGTATCGTGTGTGGTGTGTGGTGTGTGTGTGTGTGTGTGTGTGTGTGTGTGTGTGTGTGTGTGTGTGTGTGTGTGTGTGTGTGTGTGTGTGTGTGTGTGTGTGTGTGTGGTGTGTGTGTGTGTGGTGTGTGTAATTCATTTTAGCAAATGGTACAAAGCCTACGCCGTAAAACTATTACGTTCGGGATTGCGATTGAAGAGAAAAAGAAAACAAAAAAGAAAAAAAAAGACAAATCGTGCCGATCGCTAATCCGTTAACGTAAGCGTGATGATCTCGTTTCGTCGGCATCGTCGCTACAATGTCGATCGATCGCGACGGATATAGTGCACTTTCTCGTCTCTCGTCTCGGCGAGTGCATGCGCTCTTTGAACTCGGCCGTGTGTCACGATGCGACTCGCAATCGCGCGTGCAAGCGTGCGAAAAAGCGCGAGCTGGGTCTCCGCGAAGTCTCGATGGTGCCTACAGCACCGTCGAGAGATTGTAAAAAAGTAACGAGATTGCCGACATCGCGATGTATCGCCAAGTCGCGTGCGAACGCGGCCGAAAAAAACGGCGGTGTGTGCGTAAAAACAACGGGATTGTTGTTTTTACGTAAAAATCAGAAATCGCAGTGAAGCGACGCAATGAAAATTTCGTTCGCGTTTCGCCGTCGGAGGGACGGGAGACTCGATCTTCGAGATATATGCGTGAACGAGGAAACAATAATATTTATATATTATATATATATATATATATCGCACAAATATTTATTCACTCTCTATCTCGCGCAATGCCGAAGATACAACGTCCTCGGGGATGTTAATGAAGCGAGATTTGCAAATTGTTGCTTCACTCGGGCACCGATCAGCATCGTGTTATTATTCCCATATTTATTAAGCTTCTTTTCTGATCGATCATAAAGCGATCTGTTACGATATCTCGTACAACGTTATGTGTTATGTATCTCTCTTATCCATCTTCCTTTCGTCTCCATTTTTTTTTCTTATAATCACTGATAGGCACAATAAAGGCTTTTATGTTTCTGCCAGCGTAAACAAGAAGTGCAAGAACACTGAAAGTGATTTTATCAAAAGGGCAACAATAATTTTATTGACTATTTTACGCACTGATAATTGATAATTTCTTAATAATAGATAAATAAGACCAAGTTTTTAAACGATAGAAGTAAAATATTTCTGTGACAACGATTGAATAAAAAAAAAAATTAGCGTTTCAACGATCTTAATCTTAAATAAAAAATGATAAACCATCTTTAAATTCAATTTTAAATAATAATAATTAAAAGAATTTAATTTTTAAATTTAATTTTATTAATTCAATTTTTTTTTAATTTAATATTTAACTTTAATTAAATTTTATAAATAATAATAATTTAATTTTATAATAATAAACCATCTCGATTTTATACGTTTATTTAAATAATTGCATGGTTTACGTTATTATTACGCGTTAAAACGTGCACATATTGCAGCGTGTGTTACTTGGCAGCTAATATAATCTCTCGCGGCCCTTATAATCTCCCTCCGGCCGCAGATATGGCCCGTGAAAAATGCAAGGATGCTATTATCCTTCTTGTCCCATACGACTATTAAGTGTTCCATTTTTTTTCATACGAAACAAGATTGGCGCTGTGACATTCTGCCGCAACAGAATGTACATTGCATTGTTGTTGCGAAATGCCATCTATCGAATAATAACACAGATCACCGAAAAAATGTTCCATCACGATTATCAAAGCGCATTAATTAAGCGTGGATTATCACGTGTGTGCACCGATATAAAATATTTGATATACAGATGTCAAGTGCCTGCCAGTATTGATTCGGCCTCGTTTCGGCCTCACTTCAGTGAAGTTTCACTTCAGGCTCAGGAGAATATTGTCCCTTTTCTTTTTTAATAAATACATGAATACCCAGCGGCTCCTTTTTGGGTACAAATATCATTCGCGTGCCTGCTATGTC